AATGACAGGTCCGTCTGAGGAAGCCCGGCGACCATGTGCCCTGCCCGCGTCCCCCACTCGCGCCCCCTCGAATGTCGCACTCACAGCACCGGCCCCCCCCCCCCCCCCCTCCCCTTCTGCAGCCTCCTCACGGCCAATCCCACCACTTGGCAAGTCACCAACAAGTGGCCCTACGTCGACGAGCTGGTGGACATCCTCCCGGTGGAGAAGTCGGCGAATGAATTTTCCCTGCACATCCGCAAGGGCCGGACCTCCTCGCGGTCCAGCGCCACCACCTTCTCCACGCCCCACCGGGCGGCCTTGCTGACGCAGGCCAACCGCTTCCGGCACCAGTTCGCCGCGCTGGACAAGGCCACCTTCGGCGTGGCCCCCACCAGCCAGGTGTTCCCGGCTCACAAGATCCACTGGAGCACTCGCGACAAGGCCACCCAACTGGCCGCCAACCCGGTGTCCCTGGATCAGGTGGCCACCCCGCCGGACGCCACCGGCCCGATTGTCATCGCCTCCTACGACTACTGCGACATCTCCCACATCGACATCCTGCAGGATGTGCCCGGTGGCTTTGTGGTTGTCTGTGCGTTTTCGCTGCTCGGCCACGGGGCGAGGCGGCGCCATGGCTCCCCCCGAATGACCGGCAACACATGGCCCCGGCCGGGCGAGGGATGCCACGCGCACGCACGCACGCACACGCACACGCACCCACCCCTTCCTTCTGTGATCGGCCCTTCTTGCTGACCTTCCCTTGCCGCGCCCCACCGCCAGACGGCGCCTTCTCCCGCCGCCATGCCTTCTTCACGCCCAACCGCGAGGAGATCCTCAAGCGCATGCGCCACAATGCCCTGACCTATGTCGGTGTGGATCTCAAGGTCTTCGCCGACCGGTCGGCCAATGGCCAGCCGGTCCGCCGGGAGGACTTCATCCTCACCCGCTTCGGGCCCTTCTCCGATGACAACTCCATCACCTCGATCGCGGAGTTCCGCGTGCACAAGCTCAGCCCCCGGCATGGGAAGTTCGGTGTCAGCCGGATTCTCTGCTTCTCGGAGCGCTGCATCATCGAGCGCGACCCGGGCTACTATGCCCTGGTCACGGTGCGGCCCCTGTCCGAGGTGTTCGCCCTGGTCCGGTCCGAGACCGAGCCCCAGCAGTTTGCCATCGAGTACAAGTCCGGGGCCATTCGCTGGTACACCAGCACCGAGCGCGACTCCCTGCTGGCCTCGTTGCTGGATGGCGTGCGTGCCTCCGGCAATCGCGATGTCTGCATCAAGATGCGCGAGACCAGCCGCAGCGAGCGCATCGGCCTCTGGAGCCAGCCGGTGGACGAGGAGATCCAGCTCACCTGCCTGACCATGGTGGCACAGTTTGGCCCGAACAGCCTGCCCTTTGAGCAGCTCATCAGCCGGTGCGTCCATGCCCCCCCCCCCCCTCCCCAAACCCTCCCGGGCCGGCTGGGGGAGGGAGATATCCATGCCACTGGTGTTGGCGTTGGTGTCGGTGTTGCTCCGGCTGACGCTGCGACCCTCCATCCCGCCTGCCCTTCTTCGGCCTTCCTCCGCCCGATCTCGCCCTGTTCCCGCCACTGACACCTCCCCCCCCCCCACACACACGCACACATTTTCCTGGCCGGACCAGCTTCAATGCCAACGTCGACTACAGCGGCCTCCACCTGCACGATATCCTGGACAGCAAGGAGGTCGAGCTGATCCACGGCGCCATCAACGCCGTCTTCGGTCCCGGCCAGGCGTCGTACAACGCCAACGCCATCAGCGCGGCCGAGCAGTTTGAGTTCCTCCGGCGGCTGGTGGCCTCGCGCGTCGGCTTCGATGCATTCATCAGCCTGGATGGGTTCCGCACGCGCATCGGCCAGCGCATCGTCCAGGCCCTGCGGCACTCGTCGGATGGTGTCAAGTATGCGGCCATCGACCTGCTGGCGGCCCTCATGCGGCCGATGCACGACCTGTATGACCCGGCCCAGGAGCAGCTCAACAAGCGGGCCCTGCTCAAGTCCGAGCAGTTTGTCGGCAACCTCTGCCGGCTGCTGAGCACCCACTCGCAGCTGGGCACCGGGGCCCTCATTTGCGCGGCCCTGCTGGACTTCTTCACCTACGCCATCTGCCAGCCGTACAGCCTGACCACGGACGCCGACCAATTTGCCATGGTGCTGAAGATGCTGTCGGACCTGGGCCGGAACCTGTTCCGCCTGTTCCAGCACCCTTCGGTGACCATTGTCAAGGGGGCCGGCTTGCTGATGCGTGCCATGGCCGAGGAGGCCCCGCGCGAGGTGCTCGAGCGTCTGCAGCACCTGGCCCTGTCGGAGGGGTCGCTGCTGGTGCACCTGTACACGGCCCTCTACACCAACAGCTCCGAGCGCCATACCCTCACCAATCGCGAGATCAGTCGCCAGCTGATTTCCCTCTGGACCGAGGGCAACGCCGAGTCGGTGGCCCTCCTGGGCCACATTTTCCCCAAGGGCCTGGTGGCGTACCTCAGCAGCTCGGATGTCCCGCCGGCCGATGACCACATCGAGCTGGACACGCGCGACGTCCGCGCCGGCGAGCGCGAGAAGCGCCAGAGCCATGTGGAGGTATGTCCGGTGCTGCGTCTCTGGCCTTTTCCCTTCCTTCGTTTGTCTTGCCATTCGCCCGCTCTCGCTCGGTGAATCCTCCTGTGCTCGGCACTTGGCGAGGGTTGCTCCCTCATACACACACACACATACACACACACACACGCACACACGCACACACGCCCCATCGCATGTGCTGACTTTCGGTCGACCCGCTGTTGGGCATCCTCCTCTTCCCGGTGTCGGGCAAAATGGAACTCCCCCGCGCTTCGCACAGCGCTTCATCGAGCATTGGAACAACTCCTCCCTCTTCACGCAGAAGAAGCCCAAGGAGGCTCCCCGGCCGGTGGTGTACCGCAAGCGCGCCACCCATGCCCGGCATGAGCAAAACTGGGATCTGCTGTACTACCACTTCCGCCAGGACCACGCCCGGCCGGACCTCATTTGGAATGAGAAGACCCGCGAAGAGCTGAAGGAGGCCCTGGAGGCGGAGATGCGCGGCCTGAATGTCGACAAGGAGCTCGGCGGCCTGAACCTGGTCATCTCCTGGAACTTCGTCGAGTTCGAGGTTACCTACGAGAGCCTGAGCGAGGAGCTGTGCATCGGTGACAATTATGTGCGCCTGCTCCTGGAGCAGGAGACCGGCTACGGGGTCCTCAAGCCGGTGGACTTCTTCTTCGAGCTGTATCACCGGTTCCTGCTGACGCAGCAGCAGCACATGAAGCTGCTCTGTCTGCAGGCCATGGCCATCGTCTATGGCCGGTATGGCGAGGAGATCGGTGCGCGTCGTTTCCTCCTCTCCTTTGCTGCATATGTTCCTGTGTCTCCCTCTGGCTCCTCCTTTCCTGACGCATTTCTCCCTCCCTCTCCCTCTTTCCCCTCCCTCTCCCCTCCTCTCCCCTCCTCTCCCTCCCTCTCCCTCCC